CCCCATGATTCCTGTCCCTCAGGGCCGTCCCCGAGTCCCCATACCACTTCTGGGGCCAATAACTGGCATAAAAGCCTTCAGAATGGACACTTTTCCATTTACAAGTTCCAGTCCCATAGACTTGCATTGAGTTCGAAGTTTGCGGTTGAACTTTCGTCAAGTTGGAATGTTGGACCGCGAACCGAACAGGGGGGTGTTGGACCCGTCACTACTTATTACATGTCTGTGTCCTTCTGTAGAAGAATTCTTCTAGCTACGTGTCTCAGTCCCAGCCTCTCCCTGTGTAGGAATGTACACCTCGCCCCGTGTAGGAGTGTACAGAACGGGTCACATTGGATACGGAGTGTCAGAGACTTTCCCCGTCATTCTGTCTTCTGCTCTCAGCGATGGCGTCTCTGATCTGAGGAAGGAGCTGGAATGTTCCGTCTGTCTGAACATTTATACAGATCCTGTAACCCTGAGATGTGGACACAACTTCTGCCGGGACTGTATTGGCCGTGTGTTGGATACACAGGAGGGGTCTGGAGGTTATTCCTGTCCTGAATGCAGAGAAGAGTTCCAGGAACGTCCTGCACTGAGGAGGAACATAACACTACGTAACATAGTGGAGAACTTCCAGTCTACCCATCCAGAGCAGGAGGAGTCCGGGGTCTTCTGTACTCACTGTATTCACACTCCTGTACCGGCTGTGAAATCCTGTCTGCTGTGTGAAGCTTCTCTGTGTGACAACCACCTGAGAGTCCACAGCAAGTCACCAGAACACGTCCTATGTGACCCCACCACTTCCCTGAAGGACAGGAAATGCTCCATCCATAAGAAGATCCTGAAGTATTACTGCACCGAGGACTCCACCTGTATCTGTGTGTCCTGCAGTTTGGATGGAGAGAACATCGGGGACACCAGGTGGAGACTCTGGAGGAGGCCTCTGAGATGAAGAAGAAGAAACTGAGGAATGTTCTGCAGAAACTGATGACAGAGAGAGAGGAGATGGAGAAAAGAGTCCAGAGTCTGCAGGAACGCAGGAGGAAAGTACAAGGAAAAGCAGATGATGAAACCAAGAGAGTCACTGCCCTGTTCAGAGACCTCAGGAGACGTCTGGAAGACCTGGAGAAGAGAGTCCTGAGGGACATCTCCGGGTGGGCAGAGCGGGTCTCCCGTCCCATGTTGGATTATATTCGGGATCTGGAAATAAAGAAGGAGGAGCTGTCCAGGAAGATGAGGGACATTTGAGGAGCTGTGTAACATGACGGATCCACTGACTGTCCTACAGGAATCAGACACAGGTGACTTGTGTGATACTGAGGATGGAGATGATGAGGACAGAGAGAGACATGAGAAGCTCCTCCATGATGGAGGGGATGGGGATGTGGGGGGGATCTCACACACATTACACACGGGTTTATCTGATATCATGTCTGGGGTCAATGTACAGAAATGTACAGGCACACATGTCTCTCCACATTCTACTACAAAGGGCAAAGGTCCCATCAATGGTCCACCATCCAGGCCAGACCCCCAACCCTCCCCCACTGGAGGACCAAATATTGGGGCTGTACAGCAAACATGGGGGGTGTCGGGGGTTACAGACATATTACTGGATGTGAGGACAGCTGGTAATCATCTACATATATCAGATGACGGGAAAACTGCATCCTCATCATCACATCAGAATCGGCCAGAAACACCAGAGAGGTTCCAGGGTTGTCCTCAGGTGATGAGCAGTCAGAGCTTCTCCTCCGGGAGACATTACTGGGACGTGGATGTCGGGGGGGGCAGGTACTGGAGAGTCGGGATGTGTTACCCCAATATAGACAGGAGAGGAGATCAGTCACGGATTGGATATAATAAGAAGTCCTGGGGGTTGGAGAGGTGGGGGTGGTGGGGGGGTAATCAGTACTCAGTGATATACATGACAGTAAGAAGACCCCATTCCCCGGCGGTGTCTCCAGTACCAGAGTCAGGATAGATCTGGATTATGAGGCCGGGCGGATCTCCTTCTATGATCTGTGTGACCCGATCCGACACCTCCACACCTTCACCACCACCTTCACTCAGCCCCTCCATGCCGGGGTATGTGTATGGGGAGGTTGTATAAAGATATGTGGGAGGAGCCAGAAGTGAGAGATCCGCCCAGAGACATCACAAGGGGGATGATCTGATTGGTGATTGGTGCAATACTCAGCCAATAGGAGGAAGGGCAGGAAACAGGAGTGATTTGTGGAGAAAGCTGCAGGTTCCGGGGCCGTCATCTTCATCCTAAACCTCACTTCACTCCCTAGTGTGTCACTGACCAGGAACAAGCATGTAAAAAAATGACAGGTTTATTGGAAGTTTCCAAATGACAGTTATTTTTATTAAGTTGAAAAGTTTTTTTGACAGTTGAAAAATGACAGTTATATTTGTTGATAAAAAGGAGTTATTTTACACCACGTACGCCAGTCGGTGTACCCTTTTGACCGGCATTGAGGTTCTTACCCCAGTCGTTTTTCTTCTTTACCAGGCTGAACTTGGTTGCCCCACAGGTTTGGGGCTATATGGGATTTTTTGTTTATTCAGTGTCTCGAGGAGTCCGTTGACCCTCGTGAGTTATATTCTGTTTTGCTCCATCTGGACAGCCTCTCAGTCTGTATATAGGCTGTCCTGGCTCTGGCGGCATGGGACATTTCATATCCCCACTTATGCTGCTCCATCTGTGCGACCGATGCCGCCTGAGCCTGGAACCTTTCTGGGTTTTCTCGGTTTGTCACCTGTTTCTCTTCCGGGATCCCGCCATCACATATTTATTTGTATACTGTCACCCCCACGGTCCGTGTATCTGCGCACTTCACGCTAGCTCCTGTGCTATTGACTATTTAATAGCGCTTGAGCTATCCTTGCTCCCTGGCCCATCCTGCATTAGGGTGCTCCCAGGGACCACCTCCTAGGCCTTGAATGGCCACCTATACTTCTCTTCTACTTCCCTTCCTGTTCTATACCTCTCCTTTTTTCCCCCCAAATGACTCCATGACCTCAAGCTACCCCTTACATAGACAAATAGCCCCCCATGGTAATCTTCAGGCTTGGCCCCAGCTGTTGTTGCCGTTTTACTCAAAAGTCCACACACTCTCCCCATGGGCTCGTTAAACATCCTCACCCTGAACGTTCAGGGTCTCAATATACCACAGAAACGTAACAAGGCCTTCCGCTCCTTTGCATCCCTTAAGGCTCACGTAGTCTGTCTACAAGAAACACACTTCACCCCCATTTCCACTCCAAAATTTTTTGGTCCCCGTTACCCACAGGTCTATATGGCCTCCGCCACCACCAAAAGTAGAGTGGTGTTAATAGCCTTCCATCGCACTACACCCTTTACCCTAAACACTGAAATTAAGGACCCAGAGGGTCGCTATCTCCTGTTAGTAGGGCAACTCTTAGATTTCAACGTCACTATCGCTACATATTATGCTCCGAACTTAGGTCCACTACCATTTCTTTCCCACTTATTTTCGATTATAGATCATCATAAGCGAGGCACCTTATTCGTCTGTGGAGACTCTAATAGCACACTATATCCTTTCCTTGACAAATCCCCTCAACTTTCCCCCCTCCCCACCTCTAAACAAACCCTCCAAACCATCCTGCAACGTTACTCCATGATAGACACTTGGAGGGAACTCAACCCGGCCAAGCGCCAATACACTTTCTACTCCCACCCACACAAGACCTTCTCCAGAATAGACCACATTTTCATCACTGCTAGCTCCTCTTCCCGGCTTTTGACCTCTGAAATACTTCCAATTCCCTGGTCAGACCACTGCGCCGTACTCACACCCATGACCTCTTTGGCCCCATCCCCATCTGAGTTCTCTTGGATCATCAACGACAATTTACTAACAAACCCAATACACTGTTCGGAAATAGAAACCGCCCTCAAAGATTACTTATCCCTTAACCAAACTCCTGAAATCTCTCCCCCTCCTACTATGGGAAGCACATAAGCCGGTGATACGAGGTTTCTGCATTAGCAAGGCGTCCTTTTTGAGTAAATCAAAAAGACAACAGCTTCTTTCTCTAGAACAAACCTATGATCACACCCATCAAACCTTCCAAGCGACCCCCACACCGGCCAATCGTGCAGCCCTAGAATGCTCTCGATTAGCTTTAGACCTCTTCCTTACGGACCAAGCAGAACTTTCACTTCGTAGGTCTAGGCACAAATATTACACTAAGGCTAATAAGCCCAATACCTTTTTGGCCCTCTCGCTTCGTAGGCTGGACCAGATTACTAAACCTATTGGAATACGCACCTCCTCTGGAAACCTCACAAGTAATCCAGATCGCATCCTCCGAACTTTTCATAAACATCTCTCACGGCTTTACTCATCCCCCACTCCTTTTGACCCCTTACAAGCTGACACTCTTCTAGCCTCCATCTCCTTTCCGAAACTGTCTGAGCATCAGTTGGCAACGCTAGAGCAACTCATCACTCCAGCCGAAACCTTAAATGCCATTAACCACTTCCCTACCAGGCACTTCTACCCCCTTCCTTACCAGGCCAATTTTCAGCTTTCAGCGCTGCGGCACTTTGATTGACAATTGCGCGGTCATGCAACATTGTACCCATATGAAATTTTGATCATTTTTTTCTCACCAATAGAGCTTTCTTTTGGTGGTATTTAATCGCCACTGGGCGCTTTACTTTTTGCGCTATAAATAAAAAAAGTGCAAAAAATTTGAAAAAAAAAAAAGTTTATTTGTTTCTTTTATAAAATTTTTCAAACAGGTATTTTTTCTCCTTCACTGATGTGCGTTGATGAGGCAGCACTGATGGGAACTGATAGGCGGCACTGATGGGCACTGATAGGCAGCACTAAAGGGCACTGATAGGCAGTACTAATGAGGTGGCACGGATAGGCGGCACTGATAGACAGCACTAATTAGGGGTCACGGATAGGCGGCACTGATATGCAGCACTGATAGGCGGCACTGATAGGTGACACTGATGATGGGTACTGATAGACGGCACTGACTGGCATCACTGCTGGGCACTGACTGGCGGCACTGACTGGCACAACCCCTGTGCACTGACTGGTGGCACTGACTGGCAGCACTGCTGGGCTGCACTGGTGGGTGGCACTGGTGGGCAGCACTGGTGGGTGGGCACAGGTGGGTGGCACTGGTTGGCACAGGTGGGTGGCACTGGTGGGCACAGGTGGGTGGCACTGCTGGGCACATGTAGGTGGCACTTCTGGGCACAGGTAGGTGGCACTGCAGAGTGGCACAGGTGGGTGCACTGCAGAGTGGCACAGGTGGGTGCACTGCTGGGCACAGGTGGGGGCACTGCTGGGCACAGGTGGGTGCACTGCTGGGCACGGGTGGGCGGAGCTAGTGGGCGCACTGCTGGGCGGAACTTGCGGGTGTCACTGCTGGGCACCGATCATCAGGGCACTGATCATCAGTGCCCTGATGATCGGTGCCGATCCCCGCTCTGACAACTGCCAGTTCTCGGCAGTACTTTCCTCACGATCTGACAGCGTGAGGAAAGTGCAGCCGAGAACCAGCACTTGCATTTCCCTGTGATCAGCGTGTCATTGGACACGGCTGATCACGTGGTAAAAGGCCGGTATGATCGGCCTTTTACCACATCTCGTGATCAGCTGTGTCCTTAGGACACAGCGATCACGGAGATCGCCGGGTGCGCGCCCCCTGGGGCGCGCAGGAGAGCGCGTTCTGGGAGGAGGACGTCATATGACGTTCACTCAGAACTGGCCGGCCGCGGTGAAGCCGTCATTCGGCTATCTGCGGTCTGCAAGAGGTTAAAAGTCTAAAACCTCATAAGCACCCAGGGCCTGATGGCTTCTCAGCCACTTATTACAAAAAATTCACTCACCTCCTCACACCCATCCTCACCAACGCCTTTAATGCCTTACTATCTGGTCATGCCTTCAACTATGAAACAGTCCAGGCAAACATCTCGATGATCCCGAAACCAAACTCGGATGACACGCAGTGGTCCAATTATAGTCCAATCTCTCTCCTCAAATATTGACATCAAACTGCTGGCAAAAATCCTTTCCACGTGCCTTAATTCGTGTATAGGGTCCCTTATTCACAACGACCAAGTAGGCTTTATTCCGACTCGACAGGCCGGTGATAACGTCAGACGTGCATCTCTTCTGGCAAATATAGCCAAAACCCGAAACATTCCTACCTGTTTCTTGTCCCTGGACATCCGGAAGGCATTCGATACAGTCTCATGGCCATATCTCTTTTACATTTTGCATCGCTGGGGTTTAGGCCCACACATTTTTTAATCCTGGATCCACTCGCTCTATCGAGAGCCCTCGGCCAGGATTGGATATCTGGAACACAGGTTGGCCGGTTTCCAATCTCCCGCGGCACGAGACAGGGTTGTCCTTTGTCCCCTTTGCTCTTTGCCCTGGCCATAGAACCTTTGGCCCTTCTAATAAGAGCTAATCCGGATGTCAGGGGACTTGAGTTGGGTGGCACGCATCATAAGTTATGTCTCTTTGCAGATGACGTTTTACTTTTCCTCACATCTCCCTTAACTTCCTCTCCTCCTCTACTCCGGCTTCTTGAGGAGTTTGGCTCACTTTCCGCCCTTATAATAAATCCTAACAAATCAATGGCACTCAACATTTCCCTACCCCCTAAAGAACAGGCCCACCTGAAACAGATTCTACCATTTCCCTGGTCGCAGCACCACATCCCGTTTCTGGGAATCAAATTGACCCCCAATCTGTCCGATCTCTATGCAGCCAACACACTCCAATGTTATCTCACCTCTCTGCTCTTCTGACCAAGTGGTCCTCCCTGCCCCTTGCATGGCTAGGTAGAATTGCAGTTATAAAGATGTCAATCCTCCCGAAAATGTTATACCTGTTCAGTTTCAGAGTCCTCCCAATCCCAGTACCCTCCCACTACCTTCGCATACTACAGCGCCGCATCTCCTCCTACGTCTGGGGCAAGGTCCGCCCCCGTATACCTCGCTCCACCTTATATCGCTCCAAGCTCAATGGAGGTCTAGGCCTCCCCGATATTGGTAAATACTACCAAGCAGCACACCTAGCACAGCTTCCAAAATACCACGCGACTTTCGAAATTCCCCAATGGGTGGTCCTTGAATCAGTTGAGAGTGACCCCCTGTCTACAGCTAACTTACTCTGGTTAAGGCCAATAGACCGCCGCTCAATAACAAACCCCATCACCTCCCACTTCCTATCATTATGGGATAAACTTAAAACCCCGCTATCTCCTCCAATCTCCTCACAACCCCATGCTCTCGTTCCTTCGAAACCCAGCTTTTCCCCCGGCTTGGCAGACTCCCCTTTCATTTAAAGCATGGACTTCTGCTAACCTGATCCGTACACACCACTTCCTACAGAGAAATAAGTTTAAATCCTTTACCTCGCTACGGGAAATTTGTAGCCTCCCTGCCTCTGAAATATTTAGATACTTACAACTACGTCACTTCTACGCCCCCTACGCTACAACTACATGCCAACCTAACACCATGTCTCTCTTCGAACGGGCATGCTTCAAAGACCCACATAGGCGTGGCCTCATATCATGCCTTATACTCCCTCCTCACAACTCCGGACACTACACCCCCTCCTCCATACACCCATAGATGGGAAACAGATTTAGACCGGCAATTAGACCTTTCGATTGGGAAACACATCTGGGCCAATACTAAATCGTCATCTCAGAACATAGTTGCACTAGAAGCTAATTATAAAGTCTTAATGCGATGGTATTTGGTTCCAGCGAGAATCGCAAAAATACACCCCTAACTACTCGCCCAATTGCTTTAGAGGCTGTACAGACCCTGGAACGCATTTCCACATATGGTGGGATTGTCCAGTCGCACAAGCTTTCTGGGTTGACATCTTCAACATACTATCCACACTCAGCGCCACCAAGTTACAACCCAATCCGGCCACAGCCCTACTCAATCAACGCCCTCCTGGTATTACCAATTCAGAATTCAAACTCCTTCTGCAAGTCACTACGGCTGCCAAACAGGTCATAGCGAAATCCTGGAAATCCCCCACCTTAACCACCACAGCTGTTAAATCCAGAATAACACAAGCTATGATACACACAAAGGTGGAAGCCACGATTCTTGACACGATCCCTAAATTCTTAAATGTTTGGAGCCCCTGGGTAGAATGTTTCCTCCCACCTAACTTTGATGAATCCCTTCTTCTTCCTTGATTCTCGTGCAGAGTACCTTAGATATTGTTATTGGCCCACCCTACGTGGTGCCTGTTACCATGCTCCTCCTTACCACTCATGGAGTCATTGCTGTCACCCTCTTTCTCCCCCTTGTCCTCACCTACCCCTCTTCTACCCTCCTCTAAACCCCCCCCTTTTTTTTCCCACAACGTACCAGTGAGTCATTATCCTAACTGATCAAAAATATGAATCCATGGTTGACAACCCCCCCCCGACTTTTTACTATCATTAGAAACTTTGCATTGTTTTTGCGATATATTTTTTTCGTTCACATTATTGTGACTCTGTCATTGTGTTGTCTATTCCCAACATTATGTTGTCAGTACAATTCCTGAAGTATATTGATGATGTCTCTCTGCCCGTTACATCGCTTTTACTGTTAATAAAAAGTTTGAACAAGAAAAAGGAGTTATTTTTTACAGGTGAAAAATGACATATTTTGTCAGTTGATAATTATTTTTGACACTTGAAAAATAACAGATTTTTTGACAGAGGCAAAATATGAGTTATTTTTGACAATTAAAAATGAGGGTTTTTGTCTATTGAAATACAAGAATTATTTTTTGTCAGATGAAAATTGACAAAAAAAATTTGACATTTGCAAAAAAATGATAATTGAAAAATTAGGTTTTTTTGACATTTTTAAAAATTACTTTTTTTGTCAGTTAAAATTTTATTTTTGAAAACCAACAGTTTATATTTGAGAGTAGAACAATTAGTTATTTTTGAAAGTTCAAAAAATGGCAATTGAAAAACAAGGGTTTTTTAGACAGTAGAAAAATTTGTTGTAAAAAGGTCAAAAATAATTGTCATTTTTCAACTGACAAAAAACAACTAATTTGTTTAAAATTACAAATAAAACATCATTTTTAGATAACTGACAAAAAATAATGCATTTTTCTACTGTCAAAATTAAATGTAATTTTCAATTGACAAAAATAATCCTCTTTTTAAATGTGATTTTTTTTTTTTTTTACTGTCAAAAATTATCTGCATTTTATTGCCAGTGTAAAATACTGTCATTTTCAACTGTCAAATATAACTGACATTTTTTGACTGTTAAAAAAAAAATAGATGGCTTTTTTCAACTGTAAGTAAACCCTAATTTTTACGACAAAAAAATAACTGTCATTTTTCAACTTCAAAAAAAACCTCATTTTTTCAATTACCATTTTTTTTTCACTGTCAAAAATTACCTGTCATTTCTTTTGCTACTGTAAAAAAATTAACTGTCATTTTCAACTGTCGAAAAAAAACCTCTTTTTTTAAATGTGATTTTTTTTTTCACTGTCAAAAATGATCTGCATTTTATTTCTACTGTAAAAAAAAATTTCCAACTGTCAAATATAAAACTGTCGTTTTTCAACTGTTAAATGTAATGTTTCAACTGTAAAAAAAATAAAATAATTTTTAACAACAAAAAATAACTCATTTTTCAACATTCAAAAAACCTTCATTTTTCAACTGTCATTTTTTCCACTGTCAAAAAATTACCTGTCATTTTTTTGCCACTGTAAAAAAATTAACTGTCATTATCAATTGTCGAAAGAAACTCCTCATTTTTTCGACTGTCATTTTATTGCCACTGACAAAAAATATATATATTTTTTGCAAAAATAAAAATATAACTGTAATTTTTTCAACTTTAAAAAAATGTTTTTTTTACAACAAGAAATAGCTGTCATTTTCAACTGTCAAACACACTCATTTTTCAATTGCCATTTTTTTTCCACTGTAAAAAATTAACTGTCATTTTCAAATGTCAAATATAACAAATTTTTCAACTGACAATTTTTTTTTTCTTTTAATGACAACAAAAACTTTTTTTTTAACTGTCAAGAATAACTGTCATTTTTGTCACTGTCATTTTTTTTTTACTGACAAAAAAAAAACCCTAATTTTTTCTACTGTCAAAAATAAATTTGTTTTTAACTGACAAAAAAATAACTCTGTAAGAAAAAAATTGTACTTTTTCAACTAAAAAAACTATCATTTTTCAACTGTCAAAAAAAACCCTCTTTATTACTTGTGATTTTTTTCTTTCACTGTCAAAAATTATCCTCATTTTATTGCCACTGTAAAAAAAAACTGTCATTTTTCAACTGACAAAAAAACAGTAA